TAATTTGAAAAGTTAGTTTTGAGAGTTAGATGTTTCTTTGATGAAACTTTTACTAAAATGCGGTAAGAGATGGCGGTCTAGTGCACGAGGCTCGACCTATTGGAGAGAGTAGATGTATACAACGTTATATTCGCAGGCGAAGAGACTGTTTCCGATATTTGAACACATGACCTGTAGATCACAAGGAAAACAACCTTTCTATTGCTGTGCCAAAGAGAAAAATGGAAATCGGCTTTTAGTCTGCATTTGGAAGAGCTTTATTTGGACTCATGAGAGAATTATGCTGATGAATTTTCTATAAGCAATTTTTACCTTGTTCTAATAAGCTTATCAAAGGAGCTTATAAAAATAAGCATTTTATATTATTTTATAAAAATTATTGAATAAGCACATATGGTTGTTTCCCAAAAGCGTCATAATAGAGGTTGTATTTTCTAGCTTCTACTAAAGAGGACAGGACATAAAAAAGTACTTTTTGTAAAGGGTGACCCTGTGCACGAGGCTCTCACTTAGTGGGTTATGGGCAGAATAGATGTATGCAACCTTGCCCCCGCAAGCGGAGAGTTGTTTCCGGGATTTGAACTCGTGACCTCATAGTCACTAAGCAATAACCTTACTGTTGAGTTAAACTCATCTTCTACTTTTTATAATTGTATCCAAAAGCAAAATAGGTTTTTATTTATGTAAAAGCTATACAACAAAAATCACAATCTTAGAATATTTTAACTTTTTAAGATCACTTTTTTTAGGCTTGAATAAGCTGTAAATGAATGTAGTTTGATTGAGTTATGGCTTCTCATTCCAATTTCTTATGCTTGTGGACTTAAACATGTGCATGCAGGTGCTGGTTACTTCGTTTGGTGAACTAGAAGGTTATGCATATCTTGATCCCAGGACAGCCCAAGTAGCCATAGTTGACCATGTTAAACAAGTAAGTCCATTCATCTCTCTCTCTCTCTCTAAGGCTGATTACTAACTGCCACCCATAATGTCAAGTCAATGAATACATGTAAATTGCATTAAAAGTGAGCGTATAAAGCAAGCCGTGATAATTTGTTATTGTAATAGAATAAGAGTTTTGAGATAAATTGGTTGAGTTATCCTATTGTCTTATTATGGTTAAGGCATGCTAAATGTCTCAGGTTTGTACCGAGGTGAGACCTGCAACCGATGAGGAACTTCCATCTCCATATATTGAAGAATTTCGGTAATTCTCTGCAATTTCCATGATTGAGATGTTTTATGTCTGATAATTTGATATTCCTTAACCGCAGTGAGCTACACAATGTTTGATACTGAGGTGTGGAATACTCTGTTTCATGTTAAAGAAAAATGTCTTGATTCATTTTTTGAATGACCTTATGGTTCTCTGATGCTTTTGCAATCTATTATCCACCACTTTTATCTGTCTGATTAATTGTTTACACTTCAAAGTAGGTTGACTTTGGTGATTTCTTCAATGTTAATTGTTATACTTTTAATTGACATAGTGCTGTAGATGCATGATTTCCATGTTTTATTGAGAATGTGTATTGATTTTTAGTCATGAAGTCAAACTCATAAATTCAACGTTAACATCTGGCTATATTTTTTTTTTGGAATACCAAACAAAAAATATATTGCTCAGTGATTGAGGAAATTAACTTCAAGCTGATCGCCTGACCCATTTAATAAAGTAACTTGATTACTGAACTTATGTGTCATTCTCATACTTTAGTGCTCGTGTAATGCAGTATTTGTTTATCGCAGATGTGCTCTGGATGCAGAAATACTTAAATATGTTGAAGAATCTTATCCAAAAGGTGTCTGCTCTGTCTACTGTTCAAATGGGAAAGATGTAGAGGGCCCGGGTTCTGATTTTGAGTTTGCTGTGGTGATTTCTGCTGCTAGGCATAGCCCACAGAACTTTTGGTGTGTGAAATTAGTCGAATGAATCCCAACCATGCTTTTAATGATTACATTACTTTCTACTTTACTAGTTACAAATGCAATTATATTTTATATTTTTCTTCTTTTTATTTATAGTCATTTTCCTTTTGCATTTTTGTATAGCAATGGAAGCTGGTGTTCAGTATGGAATATTGAGTTCAAAGATGATCAACAAACAGTAGAAGTAAAGGGTAAAATTGAGGTAATATTTTGTAAATGTTTGATGGATTGAGTTGAATGATCTCAACACTAGCCTTCTTTAACATTATTATTTGCATCCCGTTTTCAGGTGGATGCCCATTATTTTGAAGAAGGAAATGTTCAGTTAGATGCAAAACATGAATGCAAAGATTCAACTCTTTTTCAGGTTACCATAAATCAGCATTACTTGAACCCTTCCTTTGTATTAGTTGTGAATATATCGCTTAAGTTAGATCTCCAATCTAAGATAATTGTATCCTTGCTTGTCTTTTCTGTCATTCTGCATGTCAGAGAACATTTCAATAACTATCTTTGATATAAAAATGATAAAATTGAGATGTGTAGGCCATTTAAAGAGACAATAGTTATCTTTCATATTTCATTTTTTTTTTCAGGCCCCTGATGATTGTGCAGTTTCTATATCAAGCATTATCCGTCATCATGAAACAGAGTACCTGGCTTCTCTTGAGGTTCGGAATTGATCTTGTTCTATCCATGGTCTTTCTTCTTCTTTTTATTTAAATGTTCAGATGATTTACTAAATGATTATAACTTGACAGGCATCATATCTAAACCTGCCTGACTCCACTTTCAAGGTATCCTTTTTTGTCATCTCATTTTTTTTTAAATATTCATTTTAAGGTAGCATTTGGCATGTCTACAGTATAGATTAGAAAGGAACATGATATTAATTGAGTGATTTCGTATTGTGCTATTAGTTTCCACCCCTTTCTCTGGAATCAAAATGTCCCGCTTTTTAACCCTTTGTCATGTTTTGTTCTAATTTATAAAATGCACAAAACATAGAATAGAACCTATATGTTGTATTATGCTTCAGCTAACATGTCAACCAAATGCTAACAGATATGTGATTTCTGCAAAGTCTATGATACGTATTGATTCCAACTAAAGCAATCCTATATACCCAAGCTTTACTTGTTATACATTTTTTCATGACTGAGATCAAACACCTCTAAAATGCTTTTCATTATGATTCTTTTACCATCTGGAAGTTTGTGAAAATTGAAGTGAACTGAGTTAGAGAACATTTATCAGTCTTCCTAACCTGCCTTCTGATTGGATTGCCTGGGTCAATTCCTCATCTGGCATGTCCTATTTATTAGTGAATTAAATAAATTGGTCCAATCCATTTTATTGTTTTATATTGTTGTGTGACATTTATGTTCTTGCATGAAATTGCCAAAGTATACAAGCAACAGGCTTAGTTACAAAATGAGCTACCTATATTTCTTGCTTTCCTTAGATATATTTCCATTACCTTACCACTCTACTTTATATTGTTGAATTTTGAAGCCTTACAACTACAATTATTTGCAGGATCTTCGGAGGAAGCTTCCAGTCACTCGCACCTTATTTCCATGGCATAATACTTTGCAGTTCAGCTTGACAAGAGACATCTCAAAAGAACTTGGCATTGGAAAGTAAAATATACACACAACCAATAGAAGTGTGTATTCGAACTCAATGGTGACTAGTTCCGTTCCTCATGTATTCCTTCAGTATAAGTAATTCGATAAGTCAATCGTTGTTGGGGTTGGCTTTCTTTATCTTCACTCGTGCATGCAATGTGCTTCGCCTTGAGTATATTCCGATTGTGTACTGTACTGTAATTCTTTTTGGACATTATTTGTATAGCAGTAAAGAGTTACGCTTGTTTCCAGGCTCCAGACATTAATTCCTATGAAGTTTCTGTGACTGCAATTTTTGCAAGTAGCTGGTTATAAAGCCAATTGCGTGTTTAATTTGTTGCTTTACTTATAATCTGTTGGTCATTATCCGATTTCTAATTGGATGGTGATTTATTTGATTCGATTTGATTCGATTTGATTCGATTTGGTTCGTGATTGAAGTAGTGACATTTCCTCAATGCAATGCAGTAAGCAGGAATAGAAGTACAGGGAACACTGAGTGCTTTTGGCCAAATGAATGCCATGGTTGGACAAAGTTGTACAGAACTTGTTGCAATTGTTGCACAGAAGTTACATGGTTGGACAATGTATATTGAGGTGTATACAATGATTGCCCAGAGTTTATATTTCCACACAAACCTAATCATAGAGTATGTTGATATTTAAAATTGAAGATATAAAAATAAATATTAATGTAGTAAAAGGTTACTTGAATCATCTAAGTAAAGAAAAATGAGGTGATATAAGATTTGTAGAAGAGCATTTCCAATTAAGTTGCACCGAGTTGCACGGTTTAGTTTTCTGCAACACAAAAGAGTCAAATATAAGTCATAAATAGAGTTGTACATTGCTTTGAATAAATTATTGAAGAATAGTTGAATGATAAATGATTTCACAACCACAATAATAACATTAAATCAACTATTTCGTTACCTGTTTGATGAACTTTTTATTAATTTCATAATTGGAGTTAAGAATTATTGACTTATGAAAAGTAAAAAAGAAAAAGAAAAAAAGAAATAGTATGTATGACACATACAATGCAATTCGTGAGAGTCTTGTTTTGTCCATGCTCTAATGCATGATTAGAAACATAAAATGCCATTAGCTCAATTGACTCCATGATGAATGATATAATAATTGTATATAAATCTTTACGCTGACAATGCATAAATATTACATGTTGGTTGCATGGTTATAAAAAAATGGTTAAAGAATTATGAAGATATAAAAAGATTCCATTGCCGGGAATCGAACCCGGGTCTCCTGGGTGAAAGCCAGATATCCTAACCGCTGGACGACAATGGAATTGTTGAACTTCTTCTACCATACTACTTATATAAAACCCGATTCAACCTGAGGGTATGTTTTTAGGGTTTATAATATATATATATATGTGTGTGTGTGTTATTAGTGTCTGAGTTACATGTTGAGAAAAGGCGTGTGTGTGAATCCAGGTCTATTTTCATTGTAATGTTTGTGTTTTGATTTTGTCTTTTTATGCATAGTTTAGAAATGTTAATTAATTTGTATAAAATTGATATTGTGGTTCTGGGATGATGTGACTTAGCCAAATCAGACATTGATGTGCTCCATTTGATGTTGAAGCGCATTTCTCTGTTGATTCACATCAGAGATTGGTTTTCTTTTTTCCTGACCAGAACCCCCCACAAGCCCTTTTTCCTTTTTCAACAAAACCCATGACAAAGTTGAATTAAGTAAGGTGAGGCTATTTGCTCTTCAATTTGCATATTCACAACCTTTTTATCTAACTATAATTTGGCATATTCAAGTTTTGATAATAAACAACAATTAAAAGAATTGATGTATATCAATAACAATTTCATAAATCGTAGTGCAATATATATTATTAATAATAAAATTTTGCATGGGTAAATAGTACTTTTTGACTCTATCCGTTTGTAACAATGAAATGGTACATGGCCTAATATACGACAATGATTTAGAACAGATAACATAGCACACAACCACTTAATAAGGTGTTGAAGAATGAGTGAAATGAAAGGAGAACATAACCTTAATAATGTTTCTGAACCAAAACGAGTTGCATCACTTGACATCTTTCGAGGTCTTACTGTTTCGGTAATCCTTTTCTCTCTCCCTTCATTTCACTATCCACCACTTACTTATTTTTATTTAAGTGTGAAGTCTCACATTTGATATGAGAGTATGAGTGAAAAAATGTATAAGCACCTAACATATAGTCGTGGGTACCCTTTCTACCTGCGGGTACCCGCTAAAACCCGCAACCGAATACCTTCCTGTGCGTAGAATGGGTAGAGGGTGGCTACTGCTTGACCCGTGCCCTTTGCCATCTTGGCTGATCTTGACCATAAGTATAGGGATGGGTGCAGGTCCATGATTTATGTAAAAAAAACAATACATGGAATCATTAGAATATACATAAATTTGAAAGAAAAATAGAATAGTTTTCTCAAGTTTGAATGGGAGTATTAAATGCATGCCAATGATTTTGCTTTAAGATGTTTTGATAATATGCAATGCAGTTAATGATTTTAGTTGATGATGGTGGAGGAGAATGGCCAATGATTGGTCATGCGCCATGGAATGGTTGCAATCTTGCTGATTTTGTCATGCCTTTCTTTTTGTTCATTGTGGGGATGACCATTCCACTTTCTCTTAAGGTTAGTTACAGGGATTTCTAACAAAGAATGCTTTAAGTACCTGAAATTTCCATTTCTTGATGCTTATATTTTATGTGCAGAGAATACCAAATAAACTTGTTGCTGCAAAAAAGGTGCTAGTTAGAACAATCAAACTCCTCTTCTGGGGTCTGCTTTTACAAGGTTAGTTTTTCTTCTATATATATAAGTAATGTAATAAACAAGACTCTTCTCTTAACCATTTAGTGAGCATCTTGTATTTCATAAAAAATGGGGTGTTGTAATTGTTGGGTTTATTCAAGTGTGAAGTCTCACATTGGATATGAGGGGAGGAGTGAAAGAGCTTATAAGTGGAAAAGACCCATGAAGCTAATTCCTTAAGGTTTTGTTTCAAGACGTGGTGTCTCACTTGTAACTCTCCACTCATCCCATATCCCGGTAACAATGGAACTCCCCGGTGATTGGAGGCTCCCTAGTCGCAGTTTGGTTTAACAAGTGGTATCAGAGCTGATGTTTCGGCTGTGACATGAGGGAGAGTTTGTAGGGTTTATTCAAGTGTGAAATCTCACATTGGATGTGAGGGGAGGAATGAAAGAGAGTTTATAAGTGGAAAAGACCCATGGAACTAATGGCTTAAGATTTTGGTTCAAGACGTAGTGTCTCATTTGTGACTCTCCACTCATCCCATACCCCGATAACAAGGGAACTCTCCGGTAATTGGAAGCTCCTCAGTCGCAGTCTGGTCCAACAGTAATCTTTATGCAAAGGCCAACTTATCCAACTTTCGAGCATTGAAAATTCACAGCATATCACAACATTGGTCTTTCATGAAAATTCACACTTTTCCAAACCCATGGAATAGAGGAATTCTGGGATTTTTGGTTGGGACAAATACTTTTATGCATACCTGAGAAGATACCTTCGATTTGTCGGTTGACCTCTATGATGAAGGTGGTTTCTCACATGCGCCGGACAATCTAACATATGGAGTTGACATGAAACACATAAGGTTGTGTGGCATTCTTCAGGTGACTATGATCATTTTCCCTGCTTATTATTGTAGAGCAGATTTTATTAGCTAATAACAGTGAGTATAATGAAAGTATTACTTTTACTTTGTGTTTCTACCCTTTTAGAGAATTGCTCTAGCATATTTGGTTGTAGCATTGGTGGAGATATTTTCAAAAAGTTCTGTACCTAATGATCCAGAACCGACCCACCTTTCAGTCTTCAAGTTATATTATTGGCATTGGTTAGTCTTTGATTGAAATGTTCTAGTTGATTTCTGAAACAATCTGCTTCTAAACATTGCATCTACTAAAATTTCAGGCTGGTTGGAGCATGTATACTTACTCTATACATGGCTTTACTTTATGGAATTTATGTTCCAGATTGGCAATTCACTGTCCATAACTCGGAAAGTGTATATAACGGCAGAACTTTCACGGTTAGATTCTAATCCCCTGCCTTCGGTATGAAATTTCCCTTTATCTTTAGCAATTTCTATGCTTGAAGGTGTGCATAAATGGACTAGTTTAAATATTTCTGATTTACTCTCTCTAATTTGTTGTCTCTGTCAATGTTAGGTGACCTGTGGTGTCAAAGGGAAACTAGATCCCCCATGTAATGCTGTCGGATATATTGACCGAGAGGTGCTCGGAATTAACCACATGTATAAGCGCCCAGCATGGAGGAGAACCGAAGTGTGTCGCCATTTTCATCGAGAAACTTATCTTCTATAATTTCGGAACACTTTATGACTAATGGATGTTTCAAAAACTCACTGCCTTTTATTTTAAGTGCTACAGGCTTGCACCGAAAGACACCCATATGAAGGGCCTTTTAAAGAAAATGCTCCTTTATGGTGTTATGCACCTTATGAGCCAGAAGGAATTCTAAGGTCTGAAGATGTCTCATTATTCTCTACAGCATGTTTGGTTTAGCTTTTGAAATCCAGAATGCGCTATTGACAACTCTTTTTTCGATGTTTCAACAATTTTCTTACTACATGGCTTTGTTTTCTTCGAAGTAAACGCTATCATTATATTTGATTGAATCATTGAAAATGTTGTTTACATTGTTACTAAGAAACAGAGTTGTGGACTACCATATCCATTTTATTTGGTTAGACCATGCCATATGATTTTTGCACAAACTTTTGAAATACTCATACCCTTTTAAGAAGAATTGTACTGTGATTATGAATATGCTCGATTTTCGGTGCTCGCAAATTGTGTAAGTTGTTTTGCTGATTCTTAGAGCAATGTGATATGCAATTGCAGCTCAATATCTGCTATTCTTTCCACAATCATTGGATTGCATTTTGGACATGTACTCATACACTTGCAGGTGAAGCTTATGACTCAAAATAATCACTTATTTAACATCTCCTTAACTTCTGCTTACTCCTTCAGTTATGTGATTTTAGGACCACTCTTCTAGACTAAAACACTGGCTTCTCATGGGCTTAGCTCTCCTTACTTCTGGAATTATTCTGCATGTCACTCATGGTGTGAATTCTTAACTCGGTTTTTCGCTCGAACATGCTGTACAACCATATAATCATTCCTCATTTATTCTGATGTTATCCTTCAAATTTCCTTTCTTCCATATATTGCAGCCATTCCTTTGAATAAACAGTTGTATACACTAAGCTATATTTGTGTGACATCTGGAGCAGCAGCATTAGTTTTTTTGGCCTTTTATATTATGGTATGTTTTTTGGTCTATGGTGAAAAGTGGAAATTATACTAGCCCTACAAACCTTAGTAGATTTTATCTTCTGAAATGTTGTTTAGTCTATTATGGTTAATGCTCATTTTTTTTCATCTTGGTGGGTTTAGATTTTGTATTGGGTTATTGCATGTTAAAATAGCTGAGATTTTGTATGTGATAATCGATTAACACTATGGTTAATCGATTATATGAATATTGAAATTGTTATAATTCTGTAAGAGTTAATCGATTAACAATGTAATTAATCGATTAACTAGTCAGTTGGTCAGTTAGTTAGGTTTGTATTAGTTGCTTGATTTACAAGCTTTCTTTTTCTCTTTCTTCTCTTGTATAAATAAGTCATGATAGGCATCAATTTTCACTAATGAGAATATTATTCAATTCAACTCATTCTTTCTTCTTCTTTAAGCTTTTTTGGCTCATCCTTCTTGTTCATCAAGAAGATACATCTATGGCTCATACCAAACTTTAACATTGCAGGTTGATATTTGGAGTTTGAAATTGTTGTTCATGCCATTGAAATGGATTGGAATGAATGCTATGTTTGTGTATGTTATGGCAGCTGAGGGAATCTTTGCAGGATTCATTAATGGATGGTATTATGATGACCCTCAAAATACATTGGTATATTCTTCTCATCTAATTTCCTTTATACTTTGGTCCTTCAACTCTTGTTCCATAACTCACATAGTCTCCATCGAAAATTGATTTTGCGGTATAGGCGCTTATGACCTCCCCCTCTATGCCCCGCAGAAATTATAGCCTTTACTACAACATTGTTGTGCATAGATCAAATTTTCCGTGGATTGGATTTCACTTAATTGTCTAAGCTTCATTGTGTGTGCTCCGGGTAGAAGTTTTGTATAAATTTATTGTCACGTTATTAAGTATTTTTATTTAAGTTCTTTTCTTTCAAAGAAGTGGAATAGAATAACCCAGTCGAAACGTAATGATCATACGTTTCTAATGCATGTCCAATAATACGTCGCATTGTTTTCTTATAATTTGAGATCTATATATGGTATTATTCCTGAACCAAAATCTTTGATTATGGATATTAAATTTGTTTTGTTTTAGGTATATTGGATCCAAAAGCATGTGTTCATTAAAGTTTGGCATTCAAAGAGAGTAGGCATTTTGCTGTATGTTATCTTTGCTGAGATTCTATTCTGGGCTATAGTTTCAGGCATTTTGCACCGATTGGGTATATATTGGAAACTTTGAATTTTAAAAAACCATGTCTACTTTTATCCCGAAAACATCATCATCGCTATCATCTCC